AATTAGTTCTAAAAAGGAGCTGTATTTTTTTATGAATAAGAACAATAGCCAGTTACATGTTTGTGCAAACATACTTTGCAATAGAATTGGGATGTCAGCTGTCAGGGTAGGAAGGGGAGCTGTGGTCCCAGTGAGGAGGCAGGGGGTTGGTGTGGGGCTCAGGAAAGCCTGGCACTGCTCACTCTAAAACTGTGACTCTCCTGGCTTACAGCAGCCAAGACTGGGGGCTCACCCCACCTCACACCCAAGCCAGAAGCTACTCTTGCACTTGTGTCTTAAATATGCAGGTGATTTTCTTCTTTCTTTCTTGCTTCCCCAAAGGGGAGGCAGACCACTCCCTACTGTAGCCCTTGGCACCTGGCCTCCCAAGCTGGGTTGCTTGCCAGCTCCAGTGGGAACAGTGCAGTGGCTGGGATGGAGAGTTTGCTAGCTGACTCAGGGCAAACATTATTAGTGGTCTTTGTAATTGCTTATAACCATTCTGTTTTCAACATGTGCTCAGACATGTCAGCTGACTAGTAAGTACATCCACAGCCAGAGAAACCCTAAGTGGGTTGGATAACAACATTCTTCCACCTGAAAGATCCTTTGCACCAGTATTTTTCCTGCTTAGGCAATGGTTCCTGCTCTTTCATGAACATGCCCACTAATTTTTTGACACTACATCCAAGTGTAGTGTCAAAGAGATCCCTGTTTCCACATCCACAGCAAATACCAGTGGAAGATCCTCTCCACCCCAGTAACGTCCTTGCAGCAGGACCTTTCATCCACCCAACACATGATGGGCTTGAAAATCTTGTTACACATGATACAGGATGAAAGGTAGTGATGATACAGCACAACCAAAACTGTTTGATGTTTAAATTGCTGGCATCAAAGGGCACAAGGCCAGCATTAAAACATTTCTGAAGTGGGACAAGAAGCTGGGTGTATCAACCCATTCTCTGGCCATTATTTGACTGTGAGGTAAACAGGTTTAATTGGGATGCAGAGGAAATGCAGAAAAGCAGTTTTACCTGGCTCTTAAAGCTTCACATTTGTGTGTGGAAACCATAGCCACTAGAAGAAATAAATAAAAGCAACTGCAGAATTAAGGTTTTATGCAGGCACACAAGTAAAAAAAAAACCCACACTAAGCATCATTTTCTTTAGAGTGTCATATATCAAAGAGGGCATAAAATATTTATTCTAATTTTATATACATCCCTTAACTAGAGGCATTTTTCTTGTCTTTCCCTACTTTGCCAGAATCACATCGAGACAAAATAACCTATCTGCCTATGTAGTTCTGGGTTAATGATATCTCCCAAGTTTATCTGGAGAGGTTTGTCATAGATTCATGAATTCCTGAATTAGCAAAGGAAAATGTCCCCAACCTGTCCATAACGAAAACCAGTCTTTTAGGAAAAGAAGCAAGTGATTTCATCCTTAATTTCTACAGGGAGTAATCTCATTACAAATGATAGTGTGACAAACTAATGCTAATTATTTTGGTTGTCCTTTGTCTCTCACTGGTATGTAGTTCAAAGTAACAGCTGAAAAGTACATGATAATTTCTTTAATATATTTAGACACTATGGTACATGTGGGTTTGCATTTATATGTAGGCATGGTCTTTATCTATCTATCTATAGGAAATGCTGGGCTACAATGAGAATAAAACAGAGCCATGCATGTGTTCTGATATTTTTGTAGAAATTGTTGTTTTCTCCAATAGTTAACTGTAATATATACAGAAAACATAGCAAAACTTAATTGACTTGCCATTTTGTTAAAAAAAATTAGAATGATTATCTAACACACACAAACAATCCAAATGTTTAAAACAAAAGGAAAAAAGCATTGAAAATTAGTATTTTGGAAGGAAAATCTACTAATGGGTAATGTTATTTAAGGCTAGGCTACTGTACTGCTGTTACAGATCTATCACTCAGCTCATATTGAGACATAAGAGCATCAGGCCAGAGAATACATCCTGTAGACTTCTGCTGAATTGAAATCCAGACCATAATCAGGGTGGTAAACAGTTCTGGTTTTGACCTGTTTTTCTTTTATATATTGTCCGTATTCTTTACACATATATTTGTAGCTTCTTATTGTAGCTTATCTTCAGCATTTTCCTAGGCAGGAAAACCAAACAAATTCCAGGATCCCTGGAATATGCTATCTTGGTTGTCCTTAGAAACCAAGTCTGAAACCAGCTTTTTGAGACATATTTTTGTAAACAGGGCCTGGTCCCCATTGAAGGTGGGGAGAATTTAGAAGGTACTAGGACTGTTGAGGCATATTTTTGTAAACAGAGCCTGGTCCCCACTGAAGGTGGGGAGAATTTAGAAGGTACTAGGACTGGGGGGATTTCTTCACCAGGTCAGTTGCTAATTGCAGGGCTCTTGTCAGATACTCCAATTTACAAAATCTGTAAAAATTATACACCTGTCACACAGGGCATGCATGGTCAGTGTTTTCTCCCAAACCAGCTGTGCACCCGAGGATCCTTCTATAAAGGTCCCCTTTTTATCACCCTAACTGTGTCTGGCTCATATTTTTAGGACCAGAGAAAGAAGCATCAATGGTACAACCACATTATTGACACAGCCCTGGGACGAAGGGCCCGATGTGGCTGCTGCTGCTTGGCACTGCACACAGAAGTAACCAGACACACTTTGTTCCTTTCTATGCAACAGATATTGCAAGGTAAAAGTCAATAATATGTGAGTGGCCAACAGTTCAAGGATGCATCTCATAGTCCAGCAACACACTCCTGCACATAGGGTTATTTGAATGCACAAGGTTAAAATTGACATCCTGCACTTCAGTACTTACAAACATCACCCCACTGACCACCAATATCACAAAACAGCAAGGAAAAAAATACTGAGGAAAAAAACTAAAAAAAAATTTAGAAGTTTACCAGAAAAATTCAGGAAACTGAAAGCTTTGATTAACTTTGATAACAGATCATCTGTAAGTGATCGCATAAAAACGTAGGGGAACTTTTCACTACACTTTTCTTATTTCCAGATTTTACAATCTTTCCTCTTCCTCCAGGATAGATTGTTAAATTTTTCAAATTCCATACAGGTATTAACTAATACCAACAGGAATTATAAACAAATAGCTGAAAATGATTCTTCAGTGCACAGAATAAGTGGAGATGCTGGCATCTCAGAGCTATCCTAAGCTAACCTACATGATTTCTATCTTTGCCCTGTTTCCCAAAAGTTAATTAAAAAAATCTGCAAGTTTATCTTCCAAAAAAGCTTCTTCTCAATGTTTTGAACAACTGTACTTTCTGTCACACTGTATCCACAGGATGATGTTATTTACATTAGTTTTTGGTTTCAGTTTTTCACTGACTTTGTAGCACTGTTTTGCTGGATTTTGGCACCTGTACCATCCGTGTTTGGAATATTGTTAAGAAAAGACCAGCACAGTTGCTTATGTAATATACTAATATGACACATCTGGGTACAAAGGCATGCAAAATTCACTGTGAACATGAAAAGGTCTGCCTGTGCTCCTCCATTGTGGCAAGTGGAATGCAGAAACTTTCCCTCTTCCCATGCACAATAAGAACTGATAGGCACTTGCAGCACCTACCTAAATGAAAGTCATAGGCAGGCCTGAAAACTGCAGGATTATGGAGAATTTTCTTCAGTTTTCCAGCTTAAAACCAGATACCCAGATTTAAAAATATTGATATGACTTTTGATAAGAGACTTAAATATCAGAGCTCAAGTCAGATTCAGTCTTGCTACATTACTGTCTTTTTTTAAATGCAAATTTAAGCAGTGGGTTGGTTTCTTTTATTTTATAGATATAATTGCTTTTCACAAAAAAGGAAAAATGAGAATTTTATATGAAGGAACCATCTTTTATGAGAAATGGAATTTAATAGCTATGACCACTATATAGGTTATGCTTACATGAAAAGAAAGATGATGCTTGATGTACAAGCCCCCTGCAAATAAGGCCATCATACATCTGAAAACATTAGGAATCATCAGGCTTGTTTTTAAGAAAGCAGACTTTTGGAGCAGTGACTCTGAAGTTCTCAGTCATCCAGGGAATATTTGCCACTATCAGAATAGAGCTACCCATCTTTTTAGAAGGTGTCACATTGAACTGTACAGTAGACAGATCCTAATATCTCCATCTTAAATCAACAGCAGTTGTATTTGTCAGGAGTAACCACTGAGCTGTGAACAGACTTATTTTTATAAGCATAACAGATTTAACTTTTGTCACCTTTAATCAATCTCAGATACAAAAGCTCCTTAAGTACATCGTATTTACCGTGACTTACCTCGCATCTGTAAACTAAGTGAAAAACCCTAGAAAAATACAAATTGTGCTTCAAATGGTTTGAAGTTGAGAAAGTGTATGGCAGTGAACTAATTTGAGAAGCCAAATGTATGCAGGTTTAAAACAATTCCTTTTCCATAATGAGAAATCGAGGAGAACTTTCTGTCCAAGTTGCTAATGGAGACAATTTAAAATACTCCTTTCTTACAGTAAGAGTGGTGGAAACTACTTAGCTCTTTTCATTTCCCACGGGATGAATATTGACTGAGTAATTACAGCTATAATCTCTTCAGTTTCTTTACAAAAGTTTCCTGCAGAATTATGTCATTAAAACAGAGCTTACTGTATGTAACATGCCTATAATTCAATTGTGCTTAATGGCTCCGACCTACTTAATTTTACCCATTTTCCTTTGTATTTGAAATTTCATGAATGCTTTGTTATAGAAGTTTATGAAATAGATGACAAACTGAACATAAAATTTTCATTTATCTATATATAAAGGTACTGACTTGATGGTATAACCACAGGAAACATCCAGATGCCTATGAAGAATCAAAAACCTTTTCGAGAAAAAAAACCCTATCTTGAAATTTAAGTTCTATGTCTTAAGCACTGTGAAAAAGTGTATTTTTAAAATCTGTGTCTGAAGCATATTTGCTCCTCGCTGCCCTCAGTCCAAACAAACGAGCCAATTTTATACATATTTACAATATTTAATAAAGATATACAAATCATTGAAAGTTTTCATATAAATGTTGCAGCACTTAAAATTAAGGAGAAGCATTTAATTTGCTCTCAGCTCAGACAGTAAAATTAAATGGAAACATAACAGCCTTCTGCAGAAAGAAAGCATTAAACCACTTCTCTCTGTGGGGAAAGGCAGTATCTCAATATGATTAACAAACCCAAATTTAATTCAAGCAGTTACTAACTCTACTAATTTAAATGCTTAAACATTTGCTGCCTGACTGATAAATAATCAGCTTCTTTTGGATTCTGCATTAGTATGTTTTACCAAACCCTTGAAAGTTATTCGATAAGGTTTTCTATAAATTCTTTGGCTACATACATTAAGGAAGTTAAATACATGTGAAATCTACCAACTATAAGTACCTGAAAAATAGTACACATTTACAGATTATACATGGATCAGAGTGCAAATAGCATGAGAGAATTGTTGTCAAGGACTAAGTTACTTACAACATCCATTTTTACATCCCAAACAGAAGGCTGTGGACAAAAAAAAATTGCAATTCTTAGATTTAGAAATCTCTTTGAAGAGCTTCTTGATCACCTAAAAATGCCTCAAACTGAACCACTGCTTCATGTATTAATGTTACCACTTTTAATTATAACCTGCAGTATCTGCTTCCTCTTTTTTTTTTCTTTTGAAGAATATAGAAGTTCAGAAACTGCTCATATAAAGAACAGAAATACTGGTTGTATTCCCATATGGAATTATAATGACTTTAGATTCTTTTATGTCTTCTGAAGATATTTTTGTAAGCAAAATATGAAAGCAGAAATCCACGTCAGTCCTCCAAAAGAGCTTTGGGTTATAGTGATTTTATGGTGAAAATGTTTAATTTTCTTCTTGCAGCATTTCTTCTATTTCTTTATCCCAGTTTTCATCACGCTTTTCTGATTCTGTCACCACCTCATACTCTTGAAGCTCTTGTTGTAATTCCTTTTCCCAATCAGCAGTTTCTTCTAAAAGAGACAAATGATGTGTAAGAATTTAATAGATAATATTGTATGTTGCTTATTTATATAGAACTAGATGTATTGGCACTGAATCTCTCTTATATCCCCTAAACTTTATGGGCTCTTCTCCTTAGAAACAAAAGGAACTTCAGAAATTTAACCTTCCTGTTGATCACAAATATAAATTAATTAATGTCCAATATAATTCCTACATGCATACCATAATAAAGATATTAACAGCAAATACACAGCTAAGCCATTATGAGTGTCCCTTTGCAAGATCATTTTCTACAGTCTTTCAACTGAATCTCCCTTTGCAATTTTAAATTCCCATTAAAAAATAAAGTTTGTAAAAGTGTGGATATACTGTTATGGCAAAAAGAAATCAAGATCAAATACTGTGGCTAGTTTGAAACAAAAAAGGTACTCTCCTCACTAACATTTGTAGCTAGGCAAGCTCACTTAATCAGGGTTAAAGGTAATCATATTTCATACTTCAGGGCAAAAAAAATTAGTCAGAAGGCATTCCTGTGTTGTTAATCTCTGTTTTAATTAGCTCTGCCTATCATAGGCAGGAGTGTGGGGGAGGAGATGGGTGTTTGATGTGTTACACGTTGGCTGGCACTTCAGCCTGGGTAGGAAGGTACGCAATTCCAGAGTCCAAATCAGCTCAGGCCAGCTGAGATGTCTCTGAACAAATAACACATTACTGATCTATTGAAGCACTTTCATCAAAGAACTAGATGCAAGAAAATCCAAAGCACATTCTAAGAAAATTCTGCAAATTTTGTGATAAGCATCTACATATACAAGTGTTGTCAAAGCAAATTATCTCTGGCCAGAGTTACATCATCAGAGACTGTTTTTATGCTCTTTACACTGACAGTAGTTCTTCTGAATTATTTTAATTAATAAGCTCCACTTAATTTCTTATCATCATTCTCAAACAATTTGTTAAATTTTAAGTCTTCCAAATGCCTATAAACCTTTATAGGCAGAGGCCTCTTCAAGCTCATAGTCTGGAGCAAAAGTTGCTTTTTTTGGCTGGTGCCAAAAGAAGAAAACAGAGCCTGACTTTCAAATACTGTACTTTACCTACAAGGATGTCAATTAAAGAAAACAATTCATGTGCACAAGTACCTATGAAAGAGAAAGGAGGAGATAAATACCCCACACTCACTTTCATCAGAGTGACTAAAAAATGTTAGGTTCTTTGGATTTAAACCCCTCACAGTTAACATTCTGTGTAAGATGCTTTGACCATGGCAAAAATGACCATTAATTTCTGCAGCATCTCATTGAAGACTGTTTCATACACCTTTGAAAAAATGTTGAGAGATCTACTTTTCTAAATTGAATTACAACCTTTTTTTTTTCTTTTAAATCAACCTATCTTAGAATTGCTTTATGTAAGAAACAGAGATAATAACAGCTTTACCTTCTACTTCTGAAGTCTCTTTCTTTTTGTCTAGCACTAGTTGTTCCATTTCTTTTCTTAGGTCTTCTTGATTCAGATTACAGGTATCAAAAGCATCACTCACAAATTCTGATACACCCGGACTTGTGGAAATCTCTTCCTCATCCTGCAACAAGACACTTCAGTACAAACTTATCCAGACAAGGTAAAAAAAGTCACCAATATGTAGTTTCACTCATGTGACTAGTTTTAACTAGAGTTGACAAACCCAAGCACATTACTCTTGCAACAATTTTTCTTTACTGGCTACTTTTCCTTACAAGTATGTTTGTACAAACAAAAATGTTAGATAGCCTAGAATGTAAACCAAATAATTTTCAGTACAGCTTTCTCTGATCTTCAGAAACAATAATAAAATCCTGAACAGTTTAGAACAGGACCTAAACATTAAAAATCTGACCACAATTCAGTAACATCAAAGTAAGATTAAGAGAGGACTGTTCTTTGGAAATCTTTGCCCGCTGCATATTATTGGCAAGTGAATGCACAGCTCTGCTTCTGCCAAGAGTGTTCTCTGGCACCAATTTTACAATCCAGAAATAAACAAAGGTCATTTTGTGTCTAAGGTAAAGGCTTTTGCAGTACCAAGCAAAAGTGAAATAGAACAGTGTTGCTGTTGCAATGCATCATTTAGATTCCTTATATTTGAGCCTGACCACTGCTTGAAGAGTTTGACAGAACGTGGCACACAAATATATTTTTATGAAGGTACTGCTCGTGTCTCAATGCAATGCTAACCTTCTACACCAAATGTTTTGGAAAATTCACTCTTGACAGTAAAATCACATCATAATGTGGAGGACACTAAGGAAAACATTCTTCAGACAAATTACTGTTTCTGCTACTGAAAATGAGCTTCAAGATTATATGCTGAAAATTAATATCACAGCAAAACAGCAGCAGGCTATGACTGACAGATACTATACTACTATGTTTTCACAGCAAAACTTACTCAAAAAGCTGCATAATTACTTATTAAGGAACAGCTTCATATACTAAATCCCAGATAAAATATAACAGCATTTTTACCTCTTGTGATTTTATTTGAGGCTTTATTGTAACAGGCGGTGCTTTTGGCCGTACTGTTTCTATCAAGGGAAAAAAAAAGGTAGATAACATTTAAATATATAAAAATCTAATTTAATTTGCATAGCTGTTAAGTATATAAGGAAATACTGTATTTTAAGGAATCCTTGTGGTTAAAGGCTGAACCTAGCCACAGGTGAACCATTTTCAAAAGCAAAGTGAAACAATTTTCTATTCTTAATTAAGACAAATTTAGCAAGCCATTTCCTCATTATGGCTCCAAACTTAGTAGACAGGATCCCTCTGACCCTCAAAATGACATCCCAAGATCTTTAAAGTTACAAATGCATAAACTTAAAAACTTTTAAGTTTAAAATTTAAACTCATGAAATCCAGTCAGTGACTATCACAGAAGTTTTCAAACTCCCCTGCCTGGGTTCTACTGCTGACACAGGTGCCAGTTAGCTTTTGGGAGACAGACTGCACACATACTATGCACACTCCTAAGGGCACATGGGAACAGTGTTCTGCAGCCTTACCTTTCACACAGGCAAAAGAAATCACTGAGAAACAAACCCTAGAAGCTGGTCTCAATTTCCTAAGAAAACCTGATGTGTATTCTGTATTTAGAGCATGGTGCTAGGAAGATAATGATTGTTTACAAGAAAGGTTAGATCTTTTCCCTGGCAGGTAAAGGAACATTCCAGTTTTTTCCCTTGTGCAACTCTCAAGGGAGAAAAGTTACAATTAAGAGCCAGGTGGCTGCAAGAACAGGTAAAATTCAGGGGAGGCTGTGGTAGTGGTCAAGTGCTTGCTTAGCAGTTCTCTTTGCTTAAACATGCAAAGCAGCTCTGAGCTTGCAGCTCTGCTTTCTACAGGGTGCCCAGCTGGATCCTTCCTGCTAACTCAGCAATTTCTGATTCTTTGTGTTTAATTTTTAAAATTAAGGTCAGTTTTAATTAAAATCATTCCCTAATTGGTAGCTGTCCCTGCTTTTATAGCTCATCTACTCAATGCCCATTGCTCTGTCCCATCCTCTCTCTTTCTTCCACCTTCCTGTCTCCAGAGGACTTCTCACTGCAGCCAAAGAGGCTCCAGCATTCCCTGCTTGGGGAAGCTGTAGGACATGGCAGTAACTGTTTGCTGTTCAAGAGAGGCGCCTCAGACCCCACCTGCTGCTCTCCTGAGAGGGGACACAGCTGCTCTGCCCTGGGCCATGTCCCCATCAGGTGTGACTGATGTACCGTTAGCATCATTCTGCATTACTGGCCTGGCATCATCTCTTCCACTGCAGTGTGCTCTCATCCCAAGGTGATTTACTCCCTAACTACAGAGCTACTAATACCTAGAGAAGGGCTACAACTTGGCATTTTCTTATAGATCATATATAACCTTTACACCAGAATATGGAATTTCTTCCATTTGTCTCTTCTCTTTTCCTTTCCCATCAACCACGCTTATTTAACTTTCTGAAAATAGCAGCTAAGGAGGAGACACAGAAATGGAAGGCTAACAATTCTATTTTATAGACACTCAGCTTTAAGAAGAAACCCTGAACATTATGAAGAACTTCTAACAGGCAATTACTTCCAGTTTTAGCCTCCAATTAGGGAATCCAACTTTCAAAAAGGTTAAACCAAAAATAATATGTATGATTCAGAGCTTCCCAAATCTATGCAATTTCTGAGTCAAACAAAACATGCATTTACTACAGTCTGGTACATGAATCTTTGCCATTACAGAACATGCAGTCATTAGGAAATCTATCATATCCCACACTGGTGGTTTGAACTGTAGAAGAGCTGCAACAGACCAAAAGACAATGCAGTTTTTTGGTTTTTTTAAATGAAGGTATGTTTTGCTTTCGTCACAATGGGAATTTTATTAGAATCCAGCAACTTTCACTTTGACTGAATAGTACTTTCCAAGTGTTTGGATGACTCAAACAGAATATTTTTGTGGTTCAATAGGATCAGATGCCGTCTCTCCTGTAAAGCTGAGACACTTCAGCTAAAACAACCATAGTTTTGGGACAGTAAACAACTACCCTGAACAAATCTAGTGGGAATTGGTGCCTCTTGGTCTGCAGTATATCCTGGAGTCACTTGTTCTGTCAGCATTGCTTGGATGACAATGCTGACAGGACAGGTTACTACAGAATCTACTCAGAGAAAACTATTTTTTCCACTCTACATGGGGATCTTTGCCTAGGCTGACACAGGCATACTCCAAACAAAACCTATGAGAAGCAAGAGACAAACTGACAACAAAGGCATATAGGCAACATGGAAGCCAAGCTTTGTGATTCCAGCTGTAGCCTTCCCTTTACCCCAAAGTTCTGCTCTTGGATGGGCAGCTAAGGCCTGACTGAATAACCTCAGTTCAGACTGTGTAGAAGATTGCTTAAGCAATCTTGCAAAGGTTGTGAGAGACCCATGAAAAAGTCTGTAGAAAGAATAAGAAAGGTGATTCAAGAGGAAAAATACCCATATGGAAAGATATTATATTAAAAGAGGAGGAAAAAGAAGTTAACTTGGCAGCAACCACCTGACTGGAAGTCCGGCCAGCAGTGTCAACAGGACATAAGTATTACTGGACTTCATGGATGACAATTCATTGATATTGGGGATATGAGAACCATTCCAAGGTGCAGAAAAGAGTTTCTCCTTCTGTCCTGCGCCTACCCAGGCTGCCAGGATCCTTCAGGTGTCCTACCTGGATGGTGAGTGTACCTAGGCTAGGCTAAGATTTAATGAGCTACTGGTTATTTTTTGTGTTTCTGCCAGTAACTAACTGTTTTATACTCTTTAAGCCACAGATATTCCTGCTTGCAGAATCTGTTAACATGCAAAGAGGTCCAGTGGTTTGTAAGAGGGTCAGTAAGAATCACCTGTAGAACCTGATCAATGTAACTGAAGACACCTTTGTTGAAGCAGCTTTTTTATTTCAGAGTTGAATCCCAGGTAGCCTCCTGGTCCCCATTTTTTCTGTTTCTACAATACATTATGGTCCTTTGCACACACTGCACTCCACCACCACAGCAGTTCTACCTCTGTGTCACTCACTAACTTCTGTTTGGCGTGAGGGATGAGAAAAACCCAAGAGCAATCCATATGCCAGCTGGCTGGGCTGGCTAGTACCTGTTGTCTGATCAAATGAACCCAAGTTATCTCCTACTTTCTGACAAGTCAAAAATCACACCTAAGTCCACTAATGGTCATGAGCTGTCCTAAGCCAAGTACAACATTCTCCTTTTGAGACTTCCACTCTTCTGACAAAGTTGGCTGAAGCTGGAAAACAGCTTAAAAGCACCAGGAGCCTCCTCTTCCCCAGCCTACACAAAGACACCAAGTATGGTGAGAGAAGCATTAATTTAACAGGCAATCCAGGATAAAAATGTGATGGCACCTGATGTATACAGTGAACATTTGCTGATGCCTAAAGAGTTTTAGCATTTTAAAATATATTTGTAGCTTTGCACATTTTAAATAAACAGCTGTATAGTTTCTAGCACTTTCTCACACTTTAGAACAGCAGTTACCCTTTCTCACATATTACGCCACGTTCTTGAAATTCTGTTTGGTCAAGAAAAAGAGTTTCTAACAAGGACATCCAGTTTTGCACTAGCATCTGGGCTGAACTAATGAAATAGTTTGTAGATATAACACCATATAGGGCTAAGAATCCTTGGAGGGGCTCCTGTGGTGCAGATCCAAGGGTGGTTACAGGGTAACTGTTCTCCTATTGGATGTACTTGCTAGACATGCTAATTAATTAAACTTATAAAAATTGTGAAAATTTGATGCTGCACATGCATATAGGTATTATATGTGCAACTGAAAGCTTTCATTAAAAGATTGCTTTTTATGTTATCAATTTTAATATTTGAAAATTTTTCTTCTGATTTTAGACAACAGTGTTACAGTAAGTGAATGAACTGTGCTAAAACAAATGTTTCCCATACCTTTCAGTTCACTGTCCTCTTCTCTGCCTTTGCCCTCCTCCTTTCCTGCTGCTTGCTGTTGAGCTGCAAGTGCTGTGAGTTGTGCAGACTGTTTAATTAGGGACACCCTGTAGAAATAATTTCTCCAGAACACCTCCTCCTTTACACTAGACAGAACAAACAGATTTTGGTTATTACATTTGGAATATAGTTCCTTTCACCATCTAGCAGTGAAATAAAATTAAATATGCAGACAGGAGGAATAGACATAGATGATATTTAAGTAAAATCTTAAAAAAGAAATTTGTGACATTAACATATTCTAAAAAGTTCATCATTTTAGAAGTTCCTGATCTCTTACAAGACATTTGCAATTGACTTGAACCTACAATAGTAATGTTGTAAGTCTAGAAAAAGCTTAAAAACACACAGCAATACATGGTATGGAAAAATATTATTCTGTTCCATATCTCCTGACAAATTACGTAAACAAACCCAACAAGCCAAACAACCCCGTTCTCTTCCCCTGAAAGCCAAACACTCTATTATTGTCAAACTATAATTGTCTGCATCTTCCTAGACAGGTGGAACTGGAACATCTGTGGTGGCACAAGCCAATCCTAGATTGCAGCAATACTATTCCACTATCTGCACATCTTTCAGCACATCCACAGAACCTACAGTAACCAGAAACTGCCACCTTGGAAATGACTAGCTCTGGTAAGTGGCAGACTATCCCCTACCTCAGGTAACATTTCCTTCTGAAATTCCTCCAGCAAAAAAGACAAGACCCAGCTTTAATCCACAGGCAACAGAAGGCAGAAATGGCAAGATCTGTGGGGAGGAACTTGTGTAGGCTGAGAAAGAATGAAGTTACCCTCACACCTATTCAGGCAAACAGCAACTGAGACTAAAAACAGGTGAAAAAAATATTAAGCAATATGGTAGAAAAAGCAAGGATAGCAGGACCAGAGGCTGAAGACAGCATCAGAGAATATGAGCAGATCCTCAGAAATGACAACAGAGAAGAAGGGAAACAGAATGAGGAGCTGGGAAGGTTTATAAAAGGAGGAGATTTAAGACAGAAAATGTCACAAGGAAAGATTTTCTTTCTGTTTTCATTCTTGGAAAAGGAGACTAATGTTGGGAACTCCCACTTAAATAGAAAGCTAAAATAAGCTGAAATTAATATTATGAATAAGCATTAGGAACAGAGTCTGGGACTGGACAAGGAATAACAGCTCTGGAATAAAGCTCTGCAAAATAGAACTTTCCCATTTCCTATCCAAATCCAGTTTTTCTTGCTTGCATTGCTGCTTTTTTGTGACAATATTCTATTACTATTTCTCCAGGAGTGGTCTCTGACTATCTGTAATCACATTTCTGGGATGTCAGTTACACCAACAGATCTGAACATTTTGATTGTTGCCTTTACCTTTCTTTTGAGGAAAAAAAACTCATAAAATCTAGCACACTGGACATAGTAATAACGAGGACATCTTCCATGCTTCCTAAGTCAACAGTTCCTTATTGTTCTGTCTCACATATACACTTTTTTCTTACCTCAAATTGCTAATCTGCAATGCATGTGCAATACTGCATGTGTTAGACACTAGCATAAAAATATATGTACACATTGGAAGAACATAAAGAACTGAAGGAAGTGAAAAGAACAAAGAGTCATTTAAGAGTATTTACAGACACATTAAAAGCACAATGGTACAGTTACCAGAAGAAATTACTTACTGTTTGGGAACAAGGTCAAACCTCATCCTATTGAGAAGCTCATCTTCTTGTAACATGACCAGTGCAACAGGGTACATTTGATCAAAGTCAAAATGAAACTGCACACCTGCTGGAGGATCCCGCAGAAAATTCCGTTTATCCTTTGAAGAACATATTTATGGCCATTAAATGATATCAGAAAAAGGACACCATATTTCACACACAAGAGCATCAAAGCAATCTGTAATGCCTTTATAAAAATAAAAACTATATTGAGAAACTGCTTGGGTTCAAGTTGAAACTGATAGAGCTATTTACTCTTGCACATGATTGGTGTGGTGACAGACATATTGAAATTGTCTTGAAAACACATAATTTAATAAACTTACTTAAAAAAACCCAGTAGTTTAAATTTCTCCATGAGAAAATTTCAAATCTTACAGGAAATTAAATACTTACTGCTGATAAAGCCAGTATTTGTTGTTGAATTGTCTCTTCTTCATTGCTGTCTGCCCAGGGAGGCACTGCTGCTTCTAGTATTGAAAGGAGGAAGATAATTGCATGTATATTACTTGGAAAAAAACCCACTCCAAATAACAGACATTACATAAGGTAACAGTATCACAAAACTAAGCAGAGTTACACCAGTAGGCCAAGTCATTGCGTCTTTTTCCTAAACTAAGTCCATGGCATAAGAGAGAAACCCTTGGGATAGATCTTTTCTTATCAGAGGTAAAAAAAATAAAACAACAACTAAATAGTTGCTGCTCTCTCTGTAATTGTAAAAATAAATCTGTGGGGATTTCTTTGCAGCATACAGCAGTCAGAATTTGGTACCTCTTAGTTTAGCTACTGATGTAGTGCTGTATAACTGGTTAAGTTGCCTGCAAATAGTATTTCCAGATCCACTTAAAATGTGTAAACTTTGTCTAAATTAAGCTTGCAAAGTAACTTACAGCCAGAAGACACAAATTCTTTAACAATGGAGAAAAATGTTATAAATTTGTTATGAATTACAACCTGTTGTACACTGAGTAAGCCTACTCCAGTTCAGCTGCTTTATATAGTTATGCAGATGCTTTCAAATAATTCTTTGGGCTGTACAGAGAGGAAAATAAACTATTGTAGAGGTAGAGATATTTATCACTCTCTTCACTGTCAATGCAAATTCAGCCTACAGAGACAATTTGATGCATCTGTAGCAGATATTTCTTGTGCCCTTAAACTAACAACACTTATTTGCCTGTGCAGCTGATACCAGCAAGATCTTTCACCCACATGGATCCACATCAGATGCTGATGCTTCTTTCAGTCAGGCCATCTGTCACTCCTCCTTTGGCCAATCTAGCTACCTATTTTCATTAAGCTTTTAGAAATGTATTAAGAAAATACCAGTTTACTAACAGACAAAGAGACAGAAATACAGACAACACAATCCCATAAACAATCTTGCAAGAAGAAACCAGACTAACATACTAACTAAAAACATAATGAAAAATTTTATCACAATCCATTTAAAAACAGCTCATTTTAAAAATTAACAGTCACTGCATACTGAAACTGTCAGAAATTATTGCATTCAGGTAACACATTAATAAAGATAAAAGTCAATGATGAAAAACAATGTGAGAAAACAACTTTTGTTAGCATGGTGATCTTTGAGTTTATTTCACAAAGTAGAATTTAAAAAGCAAATCTAAACCAACTACACAATGTAACACTAACCTCACTTAAAAATCTAATCTTCCTATTCCATCACCTGCATTAAGTTCTGTTATAATGTATTTTATTAAATTGTGTTTTGATAGATTAGTTTTAGATACAGCTCCATTATTCAGCTTTCAGCAATTTTTCACTTATGTGATGTTAGACATCATCAAAAAAAGCATACATTACCTGATTTTTTGGTTTGCTGCTCTTGGACAAATTTCTTCTGTTCCTTCTGAAAATCTCCAATAATTGTCTAAAATAAAAATCAGAGAACCACAATTAAAAAAAAACCTTAAAATTCACTCTTCTTGTTTTATGTTCAGTAGTCAGAAAGTGCTTTCAAATACAGTGCATATTCTTATATCCGTAATGGCCCTTGCCATTAGTTAAAGGTGTCTCATGTCAATCATACACTTCCTTTTACTGAAACATTTGATTTTGCATTTAAAACTATTGTGTATGCTTTCAAAATTATATGTATAGTTTTATCAAGTTCAGGGAAGACGGAAAAAAGAAGGAAAATCTTAGCTGATAATTTCAACATTGGCATATCCACTTACTGTCTCACTACATAAAACACAGCCAACACAGACTGTTTAGACTTAATTAAATATGTTTTTAAAGCATTAACACTTAGGGATAGCCTTGGCCTTACAGAAGTTTCAAGAGTTGCCTAAGAAATATATCCATGACAAGAAACTGGACTTTCAAAATTTTAAAGTTGCATTTCAGACACCTGCTTAGCTGAAACAAAATGACTTCTCTTATGTTGCTGACAAATTTTCATTAAAAAAAATCATATTTAGAAATACTCTATATTGAATTTAGAATTTAAAAAAATGGAGAATGATCTCAGAATTTGGTATGCCATAATCTAGAACTAAGAATGCAAATGTTCTGTGGTTGAAAGCAGAGACAAAAATGATGAAGCTAGAAATGAATATTTAAACCACTCACAACAACACAACTTTTATGCGTGAGGTCTATGGATTAACAAGTTGCCAAAATGCACAGAAGTCTTCAAGCTAAATCCTGATAAATTCCTTACTTTTTTTTTCCTTTAGTGACCCAGTATTTCAGTTTAAGATTACTATCAGTGAGAGAACTATAGTAGCGTCAGTTATACAAACAGATTATTGTGGTTCTTTCTGGTTTAAAATTAATTTTTTTTACTTATGGAATAAAACAATTTATATGATATAAGAAGAAAGCTTTATGATGGTACAGGTATAATCTTGTTTCTCCTGTATATAATACTGATTAATCGAAACAGGGATTCATATTACTCTAAAACATTTACAGAAAAAAGAAAATTGTATTTTTGGCATAAAATATGCTTGCTGTAGGTACTTAGCTACAGTTACTTAGGAGCATTATTATTAGTGTATTAAATTAACAAATAACCTTTTTACTTGATTTTTCCCCTTTGATGTAGATCAAAATTACATTAGACTCTGATATTACTGTAGAAGGAAATAGATCTCTACTGTTATTATATAGACAAGTATCTATAAAATCTGAAGACAAAATGTAAAATGTGATCACAATAGAAAATAATTTGATGCCATTTGATGGAAGACAACCTGAAAACTAATTATATCAAGAAAGAGAATTCTGTTGTATTAAAAAATAAACAGGCAATGCTGTGGTTCCCCAGAAGGGCTGTCTGAGAGACAGGAGCAGGAAAAGGGGGTTGCCTGGGTGAGACACTCCTGGATGCAGTCCTACTACTGCTGGGATGGTTTTGACCAGTTCCCTTTCCCTTCCCTTCCCAGATACTCTCAACAGCAAACACAGAACACTTCATGGCACTTATTGCTGCCTTTTTATTTTTTTCTTTTCCTTCTGCAGGTTTGTTGCTTAAAGCACTGGAAGAACACTTGCTGGCACAAGTTAAGCAACTGGAGCTGACAGACAGGAACAGAGAGGGCAAGAACTGTGGGGCAGGGTCAGGGTGGGAAAACATCAGGACACTAACAAGGTGTTCCATTAGCTTACTGGCTCTTTTGGAGCTGTACCTGTATACCCCTAGGGTCCCAGGATACAATATGTACAATGCCAAGCTAATTTTGACTTCTGCCTTTAAGATGCAAGCTACCTCATTCTTTTTTTCCAACTAAATAAGCTGTGGGGCAAAAAGAAACCAGTCCAGACATCTTGGGACAGACATTCCCCAACTGCCTGTCTCAAATTCTTCCAGCCCTTCCACCTACATCAGCATTTTTCATATTTTCTTCTGGTCTTTCTCCAGTCTATCAACATCCTGAGGGAACTGAACAAACACGGGTGCAGCACTGAGAAAAGCAGGGTGACCATTTTTTGGAAACTCTACCATGTGTAAACATTTCTGTCACATCATTCATCATGAGATGAGATGCACAGTATCTCTTGAAAGACATAGTATCTAAAGACAGTTTAAAGAAATGTTATCAAATGCCAGACTTGCCACATGTTGCAACAATGGTAAGCAAACAGATCTTTCAGAGCAAGTGTCTAGAAATAAATTACCTTATCGATGATACTGTCAATTTTTCCTTCTTCTACAGACTTCTTTATTGTCTGTGCTGTTTCAGCAACCGACTCAGATATCTTTTTTGTAGCAGCAGAGGCAAAATTGAAGAGGTAACCTTTCACAGACAAAAAAACAAGACCTGAGATTTCTTTACATCCAGCTCTCTTTCTTCTATTTTATCTTCTCTTTAGACATTTGGATACTTAAAAATTTCTTTCAAAATACCTTAACCCAGCGTCCAGCCTACAAAAAACTCCTAAAATTCTATTTATCCTTTTCTAGTTTATATTCTTTAATGATGATGATCACAACTTTCTGTAAATCAAATATTTATACACGAACCTTGTTTACTAAACTAAACATTGCTAATCATCCTTAAAATACTCCTTTCCAGTAAGTTTTCTGAAGCAATGTGTCTTTCCTGATTTCATATAAGTATTTTGGAGACATTAAGCCATAAAGTAATTTAGCCAAAGTATTAAAACAGAATTGTATTTTTTTAGAAAAATCAACATGCACAATAAAGTCTTATAACCTGAGGCAGCAAATCCATGAAAAATTTCAGGCAGCTAACACCTCCTTTAAAAGTCTTAGCATAGAAGCTTGCTCTTGATGTTTGCCCTTATCTATTTTGCATTGTCTTACACTCTTTAGGAAGAGAAAAGCACTGTGGCCCTGTTCACTCATTTTTCTGAGCCATATTTTCAGAAAATATTCAGTGTCAGAACAGCAATGAAGACTTCTCAAAGACTCACATTCTTTGTATTAGCAGTGCTGAAGTGAAGAGAGGTGGCAAGGAAAGAACTACATACACATAGCACGGCCGTCTGCGCTGTATTACTCTATTTTAATTAAGAATAACAAACTTGCAAGAAGCAAGATGTATATCATAAACCTTCAGAAACATCAAGTACCAGCTTATAGACAAGAGATTTTAAGACATTGGCACTATTTCTCAGATAGCAGGATGTCACAAGCACTTAATTGTATCAGAATGGCTGCATTCTGACTGCAGTACCTCAGCTCCAGCACACACATTGTGTCAGTGCCGTAGTAAATAAAACACTTGCAGAGGGATCTGCATAGATTGGAACGCCTGGGCAAACACCAGTGGCAGGAAATTTAACAAGAATAAATGCTGGGATGAATATAAATTGAGAGAGGAGTGTCTGGAGAGCAGCCCTGCAGAAAGGGATCTGGGGGTGCTGCTTGGTAGTCAGCTCAACAGAAGTCACATATTTCAATTATTCCAGAAAATCACCTTTGACTTTTTTACAGGGGGTTGTCAAAAAAGTCAACCAAACAACAAAAAGAAAATCCCCAAACCAAACAAAACCCACCAAAACCCAGGTCTTCTGTTTCAAACAAAAGACCAACCTCCTTCTGAAGAACTCTCAAAAAATCCAGTTTCCCTATGGGTTAGAAATGTAAAAAATAATCTTACAATAATAAAAAAAAAAAGTTAATTTAATACACAGTTTATAGCCCCTGGTAGAATGAGTTACTTTGGAACACTGATGTCACCTTTTGGAAAGCTGACTATTTTCTGTGGTAGATAAAATGTTCTCCTGTAATGATATCACCAAATCAATACCAAAATATGCAGAGGTCTAGCCAAGCCTTAAGAGAATTTTTTATATGTAACTTTTGGTTACTAGTCACAGAATGGTGGTAACCAAATATCCTTCAAGTACTTACTAGCATCTTTTATACGTGTTATTAACCTTTATAACCCATCCCATGATTCAGGCATAAAAAAAGGTTAAGTTCTACATTTTAGACATAGACACATGCAATATTCCCCTTAAGAGAGTAGAGGAAGCAGCAACCTACTGGACTGCTTACTCCCTACCAGCTTTTATTGGTAGTTTCAGGTATCCCTGGAACCTCTCCTATAGGCAATTGTTTTAGGTGCAAAATGTGCAGAGGTATTTGGTGTCTGGTGACATTCTGGCATTATTGCACAAAGTGGTTTTGGCCAGTCCTGGAACCACGCCGAAGAGCAAATGCTTTTTACTTCCAATAAGGGCAAATATTATTTTGAACTAAGGTACTTATAAAACTGCAGAAGGGGTGGTACTTAGCCTTAGAACAATAGAATTTGTGGTGGAAAACAACACTTTCAAATGACTAAGAAACCCATCTTCCATCTTACAAGTGTATGCCTGTATTTAGAACACATATCTAGCAATACTTCTATTATTATTTCACGTTGGCAAAACACTCATAATTTCTGCAATGGCATGATAATGAATAAAAAGAATGTCTATAAGGCTTCGGTTTTACCAGTAAAATTCTTTATCTGCCAGGACATCCTTTTTACACAGCTACCCAGGTTGCTGCCATGCAGAGGTCTCCAGGATTATGTGTTAAAACAGCAAGAAAGCCTTTCTACCACAATCTATTCTGGTGTCACAGACAATAGAGCCATTGACCACTAAACCAAATGTTCATTTACAGAGCAAGTTATGGATGGATTTTCATACAGATAATAGTCAATACTTATTCTTCCCCTGAAACTCAAAGTCCTTTTTCCTTCCTGAGCAATCAGAGCAATTTGCAGATTAGAACAATCAGAGTCAGCAGCAGGTTAGTATCAATTTATCACAACTAGACAGATATTCAACCAAACTGCACAGACTAAACTGCTGCAGTTCTGGGTGCCCAAGATAATGCACAGTAAAGAACCAGCTCAGATTAACCTCTCAGATGATACTGATCCAGAATTTCAGAGCATCCATTTAAAAAAAACCAAAACCCATTCCTTAAAAAAACCCTTAGTAATGAGTATAGGTCTATACTGTGGATTAATTTTATCCAAGAATTCACTACATTAAAGCAGGAATTTTACTTATAGCAAACTACAGCTTTCCCCATCCCTGGCAGCGTTCAAGGCCAGGCTGGACGGGGCTTTAAGCCTGGTCTAGCAAAAGGTGCCCCTGCCCATGGGACGGGGGTTGGGATGAGATTACCTTCAAGATCCTTCCCAACCCAAACCATTCTGCGATTCTAAGACTGCAGACATGCTCAACAAAATCATAAAACCCCATTATTTTCCTGTGGGGGAAAAAAAAAAACACCCAAAAAACCAAAAAAAACCCACAAACGCCCACAGTGCAATCCACGTAGTACATTATTCCACGCAGCCGGATCTATTCTGCCTACACACAGACCTCCTCCCATAGCGCCAACAGAGCAGACACTTAAAAGCTGCTCCTTTAAAAACAGCTCTGAAAGAGGCGTGCTAATCGAAAGGCACCATGCAGCCTTGTTTCCTTAACTCATATCTGAAAGCCGGCAGCCCCGACACACTCACTGCCGAATCCCTTGGCCTGGCTGAGCAGCGCCTCCGAGTCCAGCTCGCCCTGCTCCTGCTCCTGCCCGGCCGGCCCTGCCTCCTCCTCCTCCTCATGCTCCTGCTCCTGCTCGGCGGGGTCGCTCCTCCGGGCGGGCAGCAGCTGCTCCTCGCCCGCCCGCTCCAGCCCCAGCCAGCTGCCCAGGCCGCGCAACATGGCTCCGCGGCGGCGCTGGGGCCGTGCCGGCGGGGCCGCTGCGCGCCGCTTCCGCGAGCGACACTTCCGCCGGCAGGAAGGGGCGGCCCGCGGCTCCAGGCACCTGTGGCGCCGGGGCTGTGCCCAGCGCGGCTGCTCCCGGCCGGTGTGTGCCCAGCGGGGCTGTCCCTGCTGCCGGGCCCCCACGCCTGTGTCCCGCGCGGCACCTGCAGGGGCCGTGCCCCGTCCCGGGCAGGCGCCGCCCCCGCCCCGCCGGCCGTGCGCCCGTGCTCGGCTCTCCCGCGGGAGCTCTCCCGGTTTGCGCCGCCGGGCTGCGGTCGGAGCAGCCGCCTTTAACTCATCCGTAAGTCAGAGGCCTCTCCCTGCTCGGGCTGGGCTCGGCTCGGTCGGGGTGCAGCGCCCACAAATCCCTGCTGCAGGCGGCAGCTTCTGTAGATAAGGCTGGGCAGAGTAATTCGTGTGCCGCTTCCCAGCGAAATGATTTTTTCAGTGTGGGCTTTCAGCGCTCCCTCCCCTAACTCTATTTCCTGCATCTTTTACAAGCGGCTTCCCAGACCGCCTGCAGTTCTCTGTACCCATTCCAAGTAAACGCGTTGCCTGAAGCTGCTGGGATATCGCTTTTTTTGCTAAAATCACGGCAAACTTTTCATTTTGCTTTCTGTAAGCAAGATTTAAGAGTTCTAAAGTGGCATGTACTCAAGATTTATACCGTTGTTGAAATTATCCCCGTTGTTTTCCTGAAAAGAGCTTTGAAAATGGCTTAGATGTCTATGATGTTAATGTTGACAGCTAAGTTGGCTGAGTTCTGAAGGAATAGCCTGAAACAGAGGTAGTAGGGTCCAAGTCTTAAAATCATTGCTATTAAAAAATTTACATATTAAAATTAAATGGCAGGGAAACGTTAATCGTCGGTGTTCATTTTTCTTCTGAGTTAAATGTGTTTAATGGTTATGGTCATCTTTTCAATCATATTGACAAGCAAATAGTTTATTAATTCCTATTACCAGAAATGTAAGAGCATTGATAACATGCCTTGCTACATTCCTGAACTCAGTCTCCTGAAGAGCCAAGCCTTATGTTACTTTAGTATCATAAAAAGAAGAATTAAAATGTTCATTGGGTATGTACTACTTCATACCAGCAGCTGAAGTACCACACTGCTTTGATTTATACTGAGGGCCATTAGATCAAGTGCTGTTGCATGTTGTTTTGGATTAATTGGATGATTTTCTTGGCCTTAGAGTTCTTGGTTTATAATAAGCTGTGCTGTCACTGTTCAGAAATTGTTCAGTGATTAGCCTCCACAGCTGCCTGAATGGAATGTGAATTTGTTTACAGATGAGATACATGTCATGCTGTCTCAGATGGGTGGAAAAATGCAGCTTGTAGCTGATCAACACTGGTGCCTTTGTTTGCTAAAATGTATAAATAGTAAAAAGTTTTGTAGTACTTTTGTGGATTTGCCACCCAGCACCCCTTTCCGTCTAGAAATGTAAATTCATACTTTGGATCTGTGTGTCAATCAGCCTCCTAAGGACCTAGGATAGGGACAAGACAGGTGTTTATCTTACATATTGGTGTATAACCTGGGAAAGGTGAATCCTGCTCCCACATTCCAGAATGGTCATTTTTGTTGGATGTTGCTGAAGGTCAATTTAGATCTTTGCAGATTGGGTCTGTGATCTTCCCAGACATGAATGCACATTCATCAGATGTACATCTTTGTTGTTTTAGATTTCCAGCTCAAGGTCTGTGCATGTGTGCTGATTTTCCAATGAAGTACATCCTGGTAACTGGTGGTGTCATCTCGGGCATTGGCAAAGGGATCATTGCAAGCAGCATTGGCACCATTCTGAAATCATGTGGTCTGCGTGTCACTGCAATCAAAATTGATCCTTACATTAACATAGATGCTGGAACCTTTTCACCGTATGAACATGGTATGAAGATAAGTGCTATTCTCTTTCACATCAACATTTGTATTTACATTAATGTGTTCTGGTTTTATTTTTTAAAAACCAATAGCATGGTGTTTACAAGTTGTTTTATCATTATTTTGAAAGTTTATTGCTTACTCTGTGTTCTCAAGGACACTAACTGCTCTAAGTTAAGAAACAGAAGCCTGTGTTTTTGAAGATACTGTTACGAGCAGATGCTTCCTTTCTCTAAAATACCACTTTACTGGGAAAATCCTAGCTGTAAGGATTGTTCAGTTAATGCTCTCTTCAGTTCAACTTGATTAAAAAGCCCTTTTAAATAGTGCTATGAAACTTACTTGTGACTTTAAGTCCTTAAGAGTTACTTGAGAATGCTGTTCTCTGGCTATCACTGCCTTCTAATGTAAGTGCCTTCATGACAGTTTGCTTAAGTTCTCATTTTAGTAAAAAAATATCTAGTCAAAAACATTAGTGAAGCTTTGAGAACCTAAGTTCATTGAAGTGGAGTGTTGTACTTTGGTGGGATATACATTTCTGTAGTCCACAATTTTTTTGCATTAGTCATGTAACTTCGTTTGCCATTGGGTCATGGCAAAATATTTACAGTTTTTCTCAAGAGCTTTCCAGCCTTACCTCAAGATCTGGTAACTTGAGTTCTGTCAGAAGTTGACTAGATTCAGAATTTAAGCCACTTTTCAGAGGGCTGAGAAAAGTGTAAATCTGAATGTAGTTATGATATTTTATGAAAAATCCTCTGCTAGGATTTTTCCTGTCCTGAGGAGCTGAGAGCCTCAGGAAAGAAATGTAAACAATAACTGTTTGTTGCTGGGGAATGTAACAGGTGTATTTTCTATTGGTCCATGTGGATTGTTTTCAATTAGTGACCAATCACAGCCACCTGTGCCAAGGCTGTGAGCAGTCACAGGATTTTGTTATGCATTCTATTCTATTCTATTCTTGTTCTTTGTAGCCTTCTGGTCCTTCCTCTCTCTCTGTTCTTTTAGTGTAGTATTAATGTAGTATTTTAATATAATATATAACATAATAAATCAACCTTCTGAGAAAAATGGAGTCAAGCCTCGTGTCCCCACACTTGGGATGTTCACCTCAACACCTGAAGGGTATTTTAAGTGGATTTTTCAGGGTCAGATATAACCCTTGCTGTGGACATGGTGAACAAAAGATGCTGGATGAAACAACTGACCCAGAAATGGTGATCATGTTTAAAGAAGCATTTTTCTTCATCATAAGTTTACTCCTGTTTGAAGCCTCAGTCTTTAAAATAGATCCAGTCAACAAGAATTTATAATGAAACGCTTTGAACATGTATAATAGTTCATGCTTAAAAAAGCATAGTTTTTCTCTCTTGCAAGTAAATGAATATTTTATTTGGTGCTGATTTATGATTCCTAGAGGTTGTTTCCTTCCAAAAGGGTGATTGTGCTGTTGAAATGCTGGTTAAATATTTATGTTGCTTAAATATTTTGGCAACGTAATGTACATTTTATTTGCAATACTATATGTGTCTGAGGAATGGACATTAGATGTAAAACTGACTTGGATATTAAGTCATACAGAGTGACAGTGCAGGTTGGGTTGCGGTATGGGCTTTACTGATATGTTGTTGTCATATATAATTTAAAATATTTTTCTTCTATTTTAAGATGTCTGTGGTGTTCTTGCTGTGTGTTTAATAATTTCTGATTATTTTATTGTTTTTCTGTCTTTTTTCACTTTCTTTTTTCAGGTGAAGTTTTTGTATTAAATGATGGTGGAGAAGTTGACTTAGATTTGGGAAATTATGAGAGATTTTTGGACATCAGTCTCTATAAAGATAACAATATCACCACTGGAAAGATATATCAGCATGTCATTAATAAAGAAAGACATGGTGATTATCTGGGAAAAACCGTTCAAGGTAATAATTTTAATTTTGTGGGATACTAGTCTATTCAGTCTTCACAAAAGAAGGGATCAGCTAGAACAGGCTGCTTCTTGCTCCACTGCCTTACTCCTTTCTCCCTTCCAAAAGATATGGGCATATTCCTGCAATGTTTGGTTTCTGGGCTTAAGGAAAGGAGAACTAGGGAAAGGACCTGGTAGTTTCTTGTTGGCTTTCTGTTCACTTCACCCCTTTTGCATGCAAAAATTAGTATATGGACCTAAAGTAAGCTGTGCTTGCCTTCTTTGGTTTTGTTTTGTAGTTGTTCCACACATTACTGATGCAGTTCAGGAATGGGTAATGAATCAGGCAAAAGTTCCTGTGGATGATGACAAAAAAGAGCCGCAAATCTGTGTAATTGAGGCAAGTATAGAACCTTTTAGGTTGTATGTCCACAGTGACCACAATGAGCTTGTTTGCTTTCTCTTTGCTCCTTACTGTAAAGAGGTCAGACTGAAGTTTTATGGGGAGCAGAAATTCAAAACCACATTTTATATTCTTTGATTTGTTCTTAAAAGGATAGGCATGGTCTTATCTCTACAGCTTCCATTTACTGGACTAAATCCACGTCTAGAATACAGCTGAAATTGAGCTTCTTAAGAGTTCTTTAACTGAGAGAATTAAAGCAGTTACTGTAGTGTGAACTGTGTATTCCAGGATCCAGATGTATGACTGAAGCTTTATACTGTTAATAGTATTGAGAAAAGTTGAGTAATACCTGAAATCTCCTGTGGTCCGTAGGAGAGCCCTTAACATTCTAGCTTCCACAGAACTTCAAATGCTCATCTTGTTGCTTGTGGTCATGCTTAAAGGTGTATGTTTAAACAATGTGTAAGTTAGTTTCCCAGTTTCTGATGTTATCTTTAAGATCTTTGGTGGCAACTTTGTTAATTACTTGACCTGCTGATGTTCTGCACAATGGAAACAAGGAGTTTGACCCACCCTTAGTAGGGCACTGAGACAGCTGGGTGAAAGCCAGTAATTGCTGGTAGTACTGTTGCAGCAGAAAATAATGAAGAAAGATTATAGTTTAGAATTTGACAGAAGATGTCACAGATTTAATGCCAGAAGTGACCACTGCAATCAATAGTACAATAAACTTTGTGACCCATCAGCAGAATTACTCAGTGTTTCTTATGCAGAAGAATCTGCCTTGAG